TACTCCTCCGGGAGTATGGGGTGCCGGGCTTCCTTTTAAGGGTTGTTCGGTCCCTGTATGACCGGTGCCAGAGCCTGGTCCGCATGGGCGGCAATAAGTCGGACTTGTTTCCGGTGAGGTTTCTTCTCCGTCAGGGCTGCCCTTTGTCACCGATTCTTTTCATAGTTTTTATGGACAGAATTTCTAGGCGCAGCCAGGGCGTTGAGGGTGTCCGGTTTGGTGACCTCAGGATTAGGTCTCTGCTTTTTGCAGATGATGTGGTTCTGGTAGCTTCATCGGACCGTGACCTTTGGCTCTCACTTGGACAGTTCACAGCCGAGTGTGAAGCGGCTGGGATGAGAATCAGCACCTCTAAATCCGAGACCATGATCCTAGGCCGGAAAAGGGTAGAATGCTCTCTCCGAGTCAGGGATGGGGTCCTCCCCCAAGTGGAGGAGTTTATGTATCTCGGGGTCTTGTTCACGAGTGGGGGGACGATGGAGTGGGAGATCAACAGGAGATCATGGTAAAGAAGGAGCTGAGCCAAAAGGCAAAGCTCTCGATTTACCAGTCGATCTACGTTCCTACCCTCACCTATGGTCACGAGCTGTGGGTAGTGACCGAAAGAACGAGATAGCGAGTGCAAGCGGCCGAAATGAGTTTCCTCCGCAGGGTGGCTGGGCTCTCCCTTAGAGATAGGGTAAGGAGCTTGGTCATTCGGGAGGGACTCAGAGTAGAGCCACTGCTCCTCCGCATCGAGAGTGGCCAGATGAGGTGGCTCGGGCATCTGATTAGCCTCCTGGCCGCCTCCCTGGTGAGGTGTTCCGGGCATGTCCCACTGGGAGGAGGCCCCGGGGAAGACCCAGGACACGCTGGAGGGACCATGTCTCTCGGCTGGCCTGAGAACGCCTTGGGATTCCCCCAGAGGAGCTGGATGAAGTGGCCGGGGAGAGGGAAGTCTGGGTTTCCCTGCTGAGACTGCTGCCCCCACGACCCGACCTCGGATAAGCGGGAGATGATGGATGGATGGATGGATGGATGGATGGATATATATATATGTGTGTGTAACAATGCATTACATGATAACACTGAATTATGTGATGAAAATTTGTTACATTAAGTGATTACATAATGCACAGTTATAATGCATTGTTACAATGTGTCAGTCATCATACCTGTTTACTGCCAGTCTCATGTTTAAAACACAGGTGTTCCAGAGAAGGATGGATGGCACTGTGAACTTCTACAGGGGTTGGGATCAGTACAAGAGGGGCTTTGGGCATGCAGGAGGAGAGTACTGGCTGGGTAAGGATTTGAGGACAATGATATGGTATGAAAATTATGAAAACCTTTAGCTTGCACCAAAGCAACACAGAAGCTTGTCAATGTCCATCTCAGCATCTGTATCTGACTACAGGTCTAGAGACCATCCATATCCTGACTCTGAAGCAAAGGTATGAGCTGAGAGTGGACATGGAGGACTTTCAGGGAGCCAAGGTCCATGCCAAGTACTCCTCCTTCTCAATTTCTCCTCAGATGGTCAATGCTGAAAGTGATGGATACACACTTCATGTCAGTGGATTCGAAGATGGGGGAGCAGGTAAGTCATAACACATGATCAAATCAGCTCTTTGTAATTGTCATAACATACATAAAATGCGAAATCATTTGTTGAAACATAATTGTCATACTGATAATTTGTGATCCATCTGCAGTGATTCTAATAAATCTCATAGTAACAACAAAAACAATGGCTAATGTACTGTAGTTTTGGATGCAAACTGAAATCTACAGCTCTAACAATCACTCCTCACAGAAATATTAATTATGACTGCTCATAAATCCAGTATAACTTGCCATATTCTATGATCTTAAGGAGATTCACTAAGTTATCATAGCGAGCAGAAGTTCTCCACCTTCGACCGTGACCAAGACTCCAACAGCGGAAACTGTGCTGTATCATACCTGGGAGGGTTCTGGTACGAAGATTGTCACTATGTAAACCCCAATGGCATCTACATGTGGGACACAGTCAATGCCCAAGGAGTCTGCTGGTATCACTGGAAATCAAACTATTACTCAATGAAGGCCATTTCCATGAAGATCCGGCCAGCGGTTTAATACATGGTACATCTCAAACAAGGAAACAACCTTTATAATTTCTTAATTTCTTTTTCTTAATCTCTATTAATCATCATTAAAAACTCAGTGGTCAACACATAATGATGAAAACAAGCTGATTTCTTTTTGGCTTAAAGTTCTTTATCAGTTTGTACATATGAATTTAATGCATCGGTAATAAATGTGCATCACTGTGCTTTGACGTGTGATGTCTGATTACACACCAGTCGCTGACCAGAATTTTTAGTGAAGAAAACCCACCCCATCCCCATATAAAATTAGTCAGTCCCATAAATATTATAGTAAATATTAAAATATTCATTTCACTGTAGTCGTAATTTTTTCCATCAGTAGCTAATTTCTAGTCATATTTAGCCTGTTTACCAAGCCTTCAATTGTGTATTGAACTATTAACCTGATGAGCTGATCCTGCCATGTTGCAGCCAAAAAGTATGTTAATTTGTTTTCAGCAGCAGCACCCTTTCCTGAAACACAGTCACGTTAGCAATACAAGTAAAATTAATGGAGTGATTTAATTGAAATATGAGTAGGCTACACAGCTTGACATTACTGTTTTGCTCCATATTACATGAGCAGCACAAGCACGTCAACAAAAGCCAGAACATTGTAGCAGTGAGATAGACTGACAGCTACCTATAATCCAATTTGATGTCAGAGATTTCATTTTAATTGTGTCCTCTAAATGTCAACTCCTGTCAACCCAAGAATGAAATCGCATCAACCGACCTTAATATATGGGACGGACAGAAACTCTAATACTCCCATGTGCCATAAGACTTAATGGTAACTGTACTGATATGTTCCTTTTGTACAATTAAAATCTTATTTACAGTATATATGTGGGATTACTTACAATGAACAAGAACAGTATTTACAACTCTAAGGGGACATCACAGGGGGCACACAGGATTGGACAGCAATCTACTGCAGGACACACACTCAGACACACTATGGCCAATTTCGAGACGACAGTCCACAGTACTGCATGTCTTTAGATTAGATTATGGGAGAAATCTGGAGTAGCTGGAGGAAAGCTACACAACACAAGGAGAACTTGCAAACTCCACAGTTTGTGAATGTGAATTTGGGGTGGGGGGGTGGCTGGTAACTGAACCCCCAGCCCTGATGGTCTGAGTCTACAGGCCTTTTCACTGTGTCGCTGTGCGGCACCTGGAGATCTTTAGGATGCGTCCAAATAAACGTAAAAGGTAATGTAGCTTAAAATGATTCACCCCAGTTCTGTTTAAAGTGATCCCTCAAGTCCTTTAACTAGTCAGAAAAGTGGGGAACTTTGATTCTGGCTGAGAGGTTGTTAAATAGACACTGCAAGTGGAGATGGCAAATTAACAGTGTTTGCAGTGTGGCTCATAATGTTCTCATCTGTCAGATTCACGGCCATGTAATAATTCTACATAATTTACCCAAGAAATAAAGACGACCAAAAAAAGGCAAATCAAATTCCACACTACAAATTCATTATATCATTTCTAAGGCTTGAAGTAAAGCAAAAAAACAAAAAAAAGTATCTTTTGTGCCTGTGGGCAACTTTTCTTTTGTCAGGAGAATTTCCTCACTGATCCACATAGTTCAAATCCCAGGAATAATTTTACAGCAATGTAGGAAAAGGAGATTTAGGGGCTGCAAATCCCGTGGTGGGTGTGGTTACCAAATACTATCAATCCCCGGTTGGTTTAACTCGATGACAATCAATACAACAACCAATAAAAGAGGGACAAAGGGGCTGACATGATGAAGCATTGCATCATAGTATACTTTAATTGTCTATTACAAGGGTAAACAGTGGAAAGATCTGATTGGTTTTACTCGTCGTGGTCAAATAGACCATGTAAAGTAGGTCACCAAACCGATAAAGGACACGGGTCTAGAACTTCCCAGAAGGGGGGTTGAAAGGCTACTTATTGATCTCTCACTACTTTGGGGGGCAAAGGGACTAATCATTTACACACTGAAAGACTGGGAGCCAAGGAGTGCATCCAGTGGCACATTTTTAAATACATTTAAAAAAAAAAAAACGGATCACAACCAACTCCAGATGACGCAGCACTGAATAATCCATGAAGGAAGAATGAAGGTAAGCGAGCTGTACATCAGGAAGTGTCTGTCCGTGATGCCACAAGCCCTGCTGCAGGCTGTCAGGGTAGCAGAAGCTAACTCACAGGACATATGTTTCTCTGTATTGTGAGTCGAAAAACATGAGAATGCAGGGGAACTCGCAGGTTAACAACAATAATGGACCGAAATTCACATCTTCATCATTTTCATATTCAATTAATACAATTTGTAGGGATGCAAAAACCACCATTTGTAAATCAGCGATTCGTCAGTAACAGAGCTGGATTTTTCGCTTTATTTTTCACTTCCTTTGACTTACGCCATCTTTTAACCATTGATAAATTCTCGGTACTCTAACAGATCCTCATATTGATGGTGCTGGTACCAGTGGCAGTCCAGTCCCTCATGTTCCAGCCTCTGGACTGTGCAGACATTTACAACGCTGGCTTTAACATCAGTGGGGTCTACAGGATTTATCTGGCTGGGCCCAGCTCACCCGTCTACGTTTACTGTGACATGGAAACCGACGGAGGGAAGTGGACGGTGAGGATGCCCCAACGGTGACGTCACATATCGAGTGGGACAAGTGGGACGGTCATACAATAACAATACATCAAGAAGATTAAAAAGTTAGATTCGGTCAGATTACTTTCATAATTGTCCTGCTTTCTTACACATGTGTCAGTCGTCTTGCCTGTTTACTGTGTGTTTAATGTTTAAATGCAGGTGTTCCAGAGAAGGATGGACGGCACTGTCAACTTCTACAGGGGCTGGGATCAGTACAAGAGTGGATTCGGTGATGTAAAGACAGAGTACTGGCTGGGTGAGTCATTCCGATCCACGATGAGCTGGGGGGACTGCATAACCACAATAATTTCCTAACTCATGTACATACCATGTAATACGCCTAAAATTAAAGGGATAGAAAAACACTCAAAAAGGGATAGAGTTCAAAGGGTTAACAATGTCCATGGAAGTACGAGACTTGACTGTAAGCCTGTATGAGGAAGAGCATGTATCCCCACAAGCATCTTCCCTGGCTCAGCTTTAGCTTTCACCCGAGCAGCATAGAAACCTTTCAACCAGTCTCAACACCAGGGTCTGACCGTAGGTCTAGAGACCATCCATCTCCTCACTCTGAAGAAGAGATACGAGCTGAGAGTGGACATGGAGGACTTCCAGGGAGCCAAGGTCCATGCCAAATACTCCTCCTTCGCAATTTCTCCTAAAGCGATCAATGCTGAAAGTGACGGATACACACTCCATGTTAGTGGATTCAAAGATGGCGGAGCAGGTAATTCATAACTCCCATTGAAATCTATTAAATCAACTCTACTATCTACATTCTGTCAACCAATTGATTATAATGTGAACCCTCTGACTCTGTCTTACAAGGTTAGATAAGTTATCATCAAGGTCTATATAGTTTTCTTACCACTAAAATATACATCTCACTTTTTATTTATTCCTACAAACTACTTCACTTTGACATGTCACTCACAGTCCTATGTATTAGACACCACACCCTGCAGGTATTATACACCCAGCGTATGACATGTCGACTCATTTCTGTTTTTTTTCCAGGAAATTCCCTAGATTCTCACAACAACCAGAAGTTCTCCACCTTTGATCAAGATCAGGATGCTTTCTCTGGCAACTGTGCACTGGACTATCTGGGAGGATTCTGGTATAACCAGTGTCACACTGCAAACCCAAATGGCATTTACATGTGGGGGGCAGTGGACACCCGTGGAATAACTTGGCATCACTGGAAGTCAAGCCACTACTCTATGAAGACCATCGCTATGAAGATGAGGCCAGTGAATCTCCCCTAAGGAGCACCTGAAATACTCAGGGACTAAAGCTGACACTATCTGTCAAATCAATAGTTTGTACCTATATAAGGATAAATTCCGACTGTAACCTAATACATTTGTATGTGTGTAAATTCTAAAGGCTAAAGTTATCAATATCCATCCATCCATATTCCAACCCGCTTATTGTACTGGGTCGTGGGGGGTCTGGAGCCTATCCCGGAAACAACGGGCACGAGGCAGGGAACAACCCTGGACAGGGGGCCAGCCCATCGCAGGGCAGTTATCAATATAATGATCTTAATTTAGATATTTCCCCTAATGAACAATTCATCCTGGTGTGGGCTGTTTGCTGCACACACAAGCCCCACTTTGCTAAACAGCATGTTTTCCTGGAAAGAGGACACTTCAGATGACATATCTACACCTGCTTTGCAACACCACCGAACCGCTCTGGTTATTTAATCATGTGATTCACATGTTTTAACTCAGATTAAAATACATACAACACTTGCTGGGTTCAGTTCTTTTTTTAGTTTCTCCTGACTGGGTTCCAGTTATGCTACTGGTTTCTTTAGCTAGCTAAAGGATTGCAACATAATCAGAACTCAGTACACCCTAGTACCAACCTGCCCCTAGAGCAATGTTTCTATTTATGTTAATGTAACATACAATATGCATTTCTCTTATAAAATAGATGGGGCTATCATCAATCATTTTCAACAATTCAGAGTTATCTAAGCCAGTTCTAGGTTAGCACTTTATTGATTTTGGACTATATAACAATGCAGCTATTAGGTTGGACTTACTGTTTGAGAAAAGACTGATTGTACCTTAGATACTAGTTAAAACCATTTGCTGATATTAGAATGTTATAGTAACATTTTACTTGAGCACAAATAATGAGGTATTAAGCTACTCCCTGCAAATTAATTTAAACAAGTTGTTGCTTCTATATACAGACAAACTCATCACAGTTAAGATGGACATCACAGTGACATTAACTCTTATCACTTTGGGTCTGGATTTAGGACCTTGTGGATTGATAAAATGGGAATAAACCAGGATGGGGAGACAGTCCATCGCAGAGCATGCACATCATTCATGCCTATGGGGAAATTGGCAACTTCAATTAACCTTAGCATATTTTTGGACTGTGGGGGGAAACCAGAGAACCCAGAGGAAACTTCATGACAAGATGGGGGGATATGTCCAAAGAGCATTCAGTTGAAACATACGTGAATGATGAAGCACAGTCACACCACCCAGCTGTAACCTCACTGGAGCAGGCCTGCCAAACTGTGGGCTCAGTGCATCCTTTGTCCATCCACCCAGCTCTAACCCCACCCGAGCAGGCCTGCCAGTCTGTGAGTGCCTCCTCTGTACATCCGCTCAGAGTACTCTCTGCCCTGTTGGCTGTGCAAATCAGCAGGTCCCAGGCCACTGCATGCATGTCTGTTTGACAACTTGTTTCAATTAATGTGCACAAGGGTGTATTGCTTATGTATTAATTAACGACAAACTAAGTGTTACGTACATGCTGATCTCAAGTCTGGTCATCATTAATGAATCGTGATGCATCTTTTATCTCAAGCAGATACTATATTTGTTACTGAATCTGTTAATTCTGAGAACTGTTAAGAACTACTGAACGAATAATAGAGATACGCCTGGCCCCCTTACATGCTTTAATGCAGCTTAAATATTCCGCTATCAGCAGAGGAACAGAAGGCCAGAGAAAGAAATCATAAAACCTTAAAGTTCTCCATGACCACTTATCCACTGGAGGGATACAGCCAGTTTGGAGCCTGTTCCAAAGAGCACTGGGCAGGTTTACACCCTAGACAGTATGCCAGTCCATCAATGACCAACTTATAGACAGCTAACTGTATTTCTCCAGACACAAGTATTCATTGCATTTAATAAGTAAGTGAGGAATCTTATGGAACAAAGTGGGATGCAAACCACCGACCCTGGAAGCAAGAGCCATCAGTACCACCCAGTGATACCCTTGAGCCATCATTCCATCCCTACAAGGCACATTTTATTCTAAGACAAAGGATCTGCTAATATGCTAATGTAGCACCTCATGGTTAGGCTAACCACAAGCTGGTTGTATTGGCACACGGGCTCCCAAAGTGTCTGCTTCAGCAGACGTGCCATCTGGCCTGACAGCCCCCTAAATCCTGGTGACTGTTTCAGCTGCAGACTTGGATGTTTGGCTTGCTTTCCTGTCAATGACACTGAGTGATCCCATTGGCAGGGGCAGAAAGAGCCTGCCTGATACAAACCATTCACTCACAGGCAAGGGCAACACAAGCTGCCTTTACTGGCTGGAATGATGTTTTATCTGAGAGGGAAGGTGTCCTTTGGAGACCAAGCACTGCACTTACCATGTGCCAAGTTTTGTCATTTGGCCACTGCGTTGATATATCCATCCATCTATTTTCTGTAACTGTCAATCCTATTTAGGGTTGTTGTGGGTTGATATGATAGCATTTAAATATTAGATGACAAGACCACTGCTTAATAAAGGGTCAGCCTGATTTTATCACCATATCTGGACATAAATTAGATTAAACATAAAGATTAAAGACAATATTTTGAAGTGAAACATTCTCACTTGCGTTTTCCCATTCCATTGGACCATTCACTTCTTTGATGGATAGAGGGATGCACTGGTCACCCTACCCTGGTCATGGGACACATGGCTGCTACTGGGATGGAAAACCTTCCCTCTATCAGTTCAACTTTCATCGTCCTGTTTTCTCCTGATTTTAATGGCTCTGCATAGTAGAAGTCCTTGAATATTAGATATGACTGCATAATATAACCATATGGTTTTAACTGAATTATATTCATTATACCTTCCACTCTGCTGAAACTATAGTACAGGGACATCTACCTCAGTGCATCTAAAGCTAAAACCTGTCTGCTGAAGATGATCGGCTTCATTCATCACCATGGGGCACCAGATACTGTAACAGACATACCAGATGTCACCAAGGCTGCTAGGAACCTGAAGGGATAGGGTGTCACATCCAAGCCCCACCCCCAGGAAGTGTGGAGCATCATTGATGTTCAGTTGTGATAACAGATTAGTTTCTCCATCTGCAAATGACCATTTTTCGATCCACTTTCAATAATCCAATGCAGGGCCCTGCCTAGAACTCGGACAAAAGGTCCACTCGCGACAGAATTCTGATCCTACACAAAGCACGGGGCAAGAGACACCCTGAATGGGATTTCAATCCAGAACAAGGCACACACACTGCAGTGTAATTTACAGATAACAATAATCTCTTCCAAACTCCATTTATAGAATCACTTACTAAACAAACAAGAATAGAAAGATCATCCATATGTTTCAAATTATGTTCTAACCTTGCCCAGTACGATAATGGATGCCAGAGCACAGAATAGGACAGGTCTGGGGTCAAACCCACCCTGACTAAATAACCTGCAGTGGTGGCCTAATGGTCTGAGACACACACTTGTAATTGGAAGATTGCTGGTTTGAATCCCTGACCAGCAAAGTACCACTGAGGTTCCCTGAGCACAATACTGTTCCCTAGCTGCTGAATTAGCTGCCCCCTGCTATGTCATGATGTGACATATGGGTGAAATACAGAGGTGTGTTAACAATGACAACTAATCACTTTCCTCTTTCCATGCAATACAAAAAAAATCATTCCATTTAAGGTTATACCCAATGAAAAACAGCATTAAGCAGAAGACCAACCACTTGACCTTTGAAGATAAAATTTACCAATAACAATCACAGTGAGCCAGATTATTCCCACAGATGCAGCTTGTGATGTGCTTTTTTAAGCTTGTAATTCAGCTGTACTTACTTAAACAGAAATAGTCATAACCTTTGAATAACATGAATGATACCAGGAAACTATGATGGATATTGCTCTCACAATTCCCCATTTGTGAGCAGTGAACTCTGGAATTACTCTGGAAAAGTTCTTTATACTCACACTCCAAATGAAAACAACTAGTGACCACAAGCCACTATATGCCTCATGGCTGGACCCCCTGATGGGGTTATAAATCACGTACCCCTGAAGGAGATGGACGGGTGTGGCGTCAACGATTCTACCTTTTATTAGAGATCAATCTCACCCGGATAAGAGAGCTTTATTTTTAAACCTTCAGACAGGCTTTCGTTCCCTCATCGCAGTGTGAAGGGAGCAGTAGAATGAAAGGTACTACGATGCTGAGCCCTCGTTATGGTTATAGCGTAAACCGATGGTTTCACCCCCAGGAAGAAGAAGTTAGATGTCAGTAAGCAAGCCTGTGCCTGACAGATTTGCTCTCTGGTTCCCTCTCCTGAGTTCTGTTTATATAACCTGCTTTATATTCCCACGATTATGTTTCTGTAGGCTCTACCCTGCTCCTGTCCCATATCATAGTAAACTGCAAGTGCAACTCCCCCAACCAACCGGTCTAAACTCAAAGAAAAACTAAAAATTGCTGAAATCATGTCGCTAATACTATATAAAAAGTGTCCTTTTGTTTGGTGCGATTGCAATAGGTACCAGCATTTAACCAGCTCCTCTAGTGAGCAAGTTACCAAAGAGGATAATCTGGAAAACCACCGACAACAAAGATGAGATGAAAATGTAATATTCAGACCTACACATTGCTATAGGCTGGCAACAATAAAACCTGCAAAATGTCAATAAGCACTATTTTTGTTTGGGAAACATATATCATGTGTAGGAAAGCATTCTGTCACGAGCGCGCCACCTGCCCTGTCTTATTCCTGTGAGGGCCAGTAGATGGCGCTGCTGGTCCTCCTGCACCATCTTTCCTTGCCTGGCCTGTAGTTTTAACAGTCTATGCCTGTCCCTCATTAACCGCCTGATAGTCTTGTATATACAGTGGTACCTCACTTCTCAAACTCATTAGAACTCGAATTTCTTAAAAGTGGAACCAACCAGTTCGAAAAAAAATTACCTAGAGCTTGATCTGAATCTCAGAATTCAAACCGTGAACGCCGACCTAAGATA